CCTTAGAGTGCAGATGGGGATGAGGGTGGGGGGTGGGGTGGCCGGAGCCTTTCAGCGGCTGCTTCTTTCTAAGAAGCCTGCCCCTTATCTCTAAGATGCTCTGCAAATATCAGTTTCAACATGGGCAGCGGTATAGGAAGTTTGAGAAATAATGGCACTTGTTGCTCTTCCAGAGGACTTGGGTTGGATTCCTGTCACCCACATGATGGCTATAAGTCCAGGTGCCTATAACTCCAGGTATTTCTGACTCCACTTCAGGGGATCTGATGACCTCTTCTGGACAATGTGGGTACTGCACACATACGGTGCACATACATACATGCAGGCAAACACCCATATACAAAAAATAAAAATAAAGAAATCTATATACTGCATAAAAATCATTATGAAAGTAACAAACCAAGTAGTTGTGGTCTTTGGGGAGCTCTTAGTAATGGTTTGGCCCAGCCCAGGGGTCCTTAGTCTCTTTTCCAGACTGAGGGAAGTGGACCTGGAACTTCTCTACAGTGTTCTTTCATGAAATCCGTAAAAGCTACCCCAGCCTCAATGTCTCCCGCACAAGGCTATTGGGGGAGGGACGTAAAAGAAGAGTCACATTTTAGGACATTTTTCACTTTCTAGGAACAAAACCTTCCTGTCCCATCCTCCATCGCTGAACCCATAGTTGGGAACCATTGTCCTCAAAGAATATGTGAGATCTCACATGGTTATATCAGTTTAAGCTAAGTTCACACCACCAAATAGGAGAGAGATTTTTTTTTCAAGTGCTAATGATGGGCTAAAAAAAAAAAAGAAAGAAAAAAACCAACCAACCTACTTCTTCTAAATGGTGTTTCCTGTAGGCTAAGGCATCAGAACTTTTTGAAATTTCAGTTATCATTGTAGTACTATTGTCATGTTGCGTCCTGGTGGGTCTGGTGATGTGAACACTGTCTGTTCTTCATGTTTTCTGGAAAAGTGACTGAATTAATATATCAGTGTAGTACTATCTGAAGAATCAGAGAGCTATTAAAATGCTTAAAAATTAAATGATCAATTCTCCCTTTGTATCCTTTGACAGGATAATTGAAGCTATCTGCATAGGCTGGTTCACCGCAGAGTGCATCGTGAGGTTCATCGTCTCCAAGAACAAGTGTGAGTTTGTCAAGAGACCCCTGAACATCATTGACTTACTGGCAATCACGCCCTATTACATCTCTGTGCTCATGACCGTGTTTACAGGCGAGAACTCGCAACTCCAGAGGGCTGGAGTCACCTTGAGGGTACTCCGGATGATGAGGATCTTCTGGGTGATTAAGCTTGCCCGGCACTTCATTGGTCTACAGACACTGGGTTTGACTCTCAAGCGATGCTACCCGGGAGATGGTTATGTTACTTGTCTTCATCTGTGTTGCCATGGCAATCTTTAGTGCACTTTCTCAGCTTCTTGAACATGGGTTGGACCTGGAAACATCCAACAAGGACTTCGCCAGCATCCCTGCTGCCTGCTGGTGGGTGATTATCTCCATGACGACAGTTGGCTATGGAGATATGTATCCTATCACAGTGCCTGGAAGAATCCTTGGAGGAGTTTGTGTTGTCAGTGGGATTGTTCTGTTGGCATTACCGATCACTTTCATCTACCATAGCTTTGTGCAGTGTTATCACGAGCTCAAGTTTAGATCGGCTAGATATAGTAGGAGCCTCTCGGCTGAGTTTCTGAATTAATGCGTTGCAGATCAGTCCTTGCTCACACTTCATTTGGTTGAGACTTGACGCTGCTTCTTATCCATGTGTTTCTCCCGGGGTGAGCCCAGTAGGGGCATTGTCATCGTGCTGGTGGGGCGGGCGATATATCCTGCCCAGCTGAAGGGGTAAAGGGACCTACGTACAGAGTAGACAGGACAGGGACTTCACACACCAAGAGGAAGCTTTAGGACCTGGCGCTCTTTGGTCTTGGCTCTCGCAGTTCCGTGGTGGGATGTTGTTAGGCACATTATTTGAACACTTGAAAGCAGAAAGACACCATTCTCCAAATGCTTTCCCGTCTTAACGAATTCAGAAGAGGCTTGGAACTTACAGTGTTATTTTTGAGACTAACATTTTCGTTTCTAAATGTTTTATAATTTCTCATATCAATGTCAGAAGTATCCTGGAAACATATGTCACATGTGGGAACTGTTTAACAAATACTTTAAAAAGTTGGCCCAAATTTAAACTGTATCGTGGAGCTAGAGACAAGCAAAAATATTATTTGAAAAACTTTGCACACTTCTCGATCTGCAGTTTAGTTTTTGTGCCCGGCACTTCCCTTATCTTAACAACTTCATGGAACCTTACCTGTGTTTCCTCTTCCTAGTTAGGTTCCCCACTTTCCTGAAATAACTTCCAAAGACTATGTGATAACAGAGAGAGCTTGTGTTGTTTTGTGGTTTGTTGGGTGATATTAGAATCCATTGCCGTGACTAGGCCACAAGAGTCCTAACATTCAGATAGCCAAGAATTTCTAACATAAAATGATAATAGAAATAGTTTGATATTCTGATATTCTCAGCGTTAGAACCCATAGTTCTCTTCTGCAGCTCTTCACTCTCCCTCAGTACCATGAGTTTAAAAGATGAAAAGATAATTTATTTAGCCTTTGACACAACAATCATACTTATGTGTTGTTTAGGTTGCCATAAAAGGAGAAATGTTACTATCTTAGTTCAGTGTCACTGAGTCAACTCTAAGCCAGCTGTAAGCAGTGCAGACACAATTATTTGTCCTGATTCCCCATCACCATGAATCACAGTTAGACTAAAATTCTTGCAAGGGTACCAGGCAATCATGAACTCTGTCTGGATTGCTAGTGTTAGACTGCGCAGAAGTGATGGCCGTTGAGTGCTAAATTTTCACACTATGAATTAGACTGTTGAGTTTTCAATAAATCTTAATAAAGAAATCATGTGAACGCACACAAAAATCAAAGTCACTGACTCACCAATAATTTAGTTTGCATACTGTGATTATCAGGGGTGAAGGAAGTGGGTTGGGGCCTGGATGTGCGTTTCAAAGAAAGAATTGCCGGAAGTGTCCACTAAAGGAATATTAGCCATCAGTCAGCTTTTACCATTACGGGTAGAAAAGCCAAGGCGAGAGAGAGAGAGTGCACTAATTAAGGAGTGAGGGATGAAATCTTTGTCTCCTGTAAGCAGGCCCAGCGGTTTCTTCTGCCCACACCTCTAGGTTTGGCAGGAACTGTCATGGGCCACACTTCTTTCTTGTTGCCATGATCAGGTAATAATAGCAAAACCATTTCCTGTTCCCTAATTCCCTTTTCTGAATTCATGTGCTACTGGCCATTAAAAAAAAAAAAAATCTCGCCACTTCTTTCCCATTGCCTTCATTGGTGTGCTAAAACTTCACACACTCGATTGTTATTTATGTATTTTTGTTGCATTTTAACTGAACATATGGCATAGTTTTATTTATTTTTAAGCTTTGTGATTTATGCAAATCGTATGCAGATGATAGCTCATCTATATTATTAGTAAGAATATGGTAACCTTTCATTTTACTGGCACTGGGATACTTCATGTGAATATGTATTACCTCTCTAAGCAACTTAGTTAGTACTCTCGTGAGCTGGGGCTCTGGCGGGCACACACACACATTGCCATATCCTCACAGTGTGTATTACAGGCGGAACAATGTGTGCCAGAACCTGATAGGAAGAGACAAAGATGGACATGCCTGGACATGCACATGGTTAGCCACACATGAGATTCCACCCACGAACTCTGAGTTGCTTGTAGGTAGCAAGTGATGATGCTTGGCTTTTCACAGGGGCTGGCTTTCATCAGTTCAGCTACCTGTTTATAAACAAGGAGATGAGACATGATAAACTGATTCACTCATAAATGAGAAAATACAACAGAGTTGGTTTGTCCTGTAAGGATGTTGTAGCTTGTTGGGGACAGGCATTTTGCAGTTTTCTCTGAGTATTGCTGAATTTTTTGTTTGTTTTATTTATTTTTTATTTGTTTATTTTGGGTTTTTTTTTTTTTGGAGATAGGGCCTCTTGCTGTGTACATAAGGCTGACCGTAAACTTGTGATAATACTCCTGCCTCTGCCTCCCAAGTGCTAAAATTACAGGTGCATGCCACAGTATCCAGCTGCTTTAAAAAACAAACATGGAGAAGATGGTTCAGTATTTAAGAGCGCTTACTGCTCTTACAGGACACTGGATGGAGTTCAGTTCCTAGCACCCACATGGTCGCTCACAGCTGTCTGAAACTCCAGTTCCAGGGGGATCTGGCGCCCTCTTCTGGTCTCTGTAAGCTTCTGCACACATAATGAACATATACTCACACAGGTGCACACACACATGCACATAAATTTTAAAATAAATAAATCATTTTAAAAAATTGCAGGTGGGTATCTTCTCCTTAGATGTATTTCAGCATTCTTCACAGTTCGGTCTTCATGGCAGAAATGCTTTCATGAGGATCCACAACACTGAGGAGGGAAAGATGCCCAAGTCTTTATTGTGAGTTTGAACATATGTGATTGATCACTCTTACACGTCACTTAATTTGTATTCCCTGAAACAAGGGGGTAGGAAGACTGGAAAAATAAAATTAGGGAGTATATGTGAAAGTGAGCATATAACTCAATAAATTCCCTTTCTTGTTGTTTTTGTTTGTTTGATTCTTTTTTGAGACAGGGTTTCTCTGTGTAACAGTCCTGGCTGTCCTGGAACTCACTCTGTATACCAGGCTGGCCTCGAACTCAAGAGATCCACCTGCCACGTGAGTGCTCAGATTAAAAGCGGGTACCATCACACCCAGGTCTGTTTTTGTTTTTGTTTTGTTTTGTTTTAATTATTATTATTTTTGTTGAGTTACTTATTCAAACACTGCCATTTGTTTTTGAAGTTAGTAGTTACATGTGATTGCACATTTGTAAATTCTTATTTAAAAATGTTAAAATCTATTCATTCCTAGTGGCTGTTAGTATATCAAAGTAATGCTTTTTTTTTTTTTTTTTTTTTGGTTTTTCGAGACAGGGTTTCTCTGTGTAGCTTTGCGCCTTTCCTGGGACTCACTTGGTAGCCCAGGCTGGCCTCGAACTCACAGAGATCCGCCTGGCTCTGCCTCCCGAGTGCTGGGATTAAAGGCGTGCGCCACCACCGCCCGGCTAATACTTTTTTTTAAAAAAGTACATTTATTTATTCTACTGTGTGTGTAGTATGTGCGCGCGCACAGGTGTGTGTGTGTGTGTGTGTGTGTGTGTGTGTGTGTGTGTGTGTGTGTGTGTGAAAGAGAGAGGGAGAGGGAGAGGGAGGGAGAATTAGGTCAGAGAACAACTTACTTACAGGCTTCTCTTCTCTGTGTCCACCACGTGGTTTCTGGGGATTGAACTCAGTCTGTCTCGCTTGGCTGCAATCCCCTTTACGGCTGAGCCATCTCCTCAGCCCTTTTCAATCTTTGTGTGCAGATCTTGCCTGCATCTCTTGTGGTCCTGAAGAGTGGAGGTGGGCTGAAGTTGAATGTTGATATGTGGAGAATTTTCTTAGTCGGTTTGATATTTTCTAGAAGAAGCTTGTTTTCCATTTTTTGTAGAAACAGAAATAACTGAAAGCTTCTAGCTCTGCTATCAAGCTAAGCTTTGCAGCTTCAAACTGAACACCCAGGGGTAGATTATTCCCCCTGACATAGGTGTGTGTTCTTTGTGTAATAAAGCAGACCAACCATCCAGTCACATCTGCAGTTAGGACTAAACAGATGTGGAAGGCCTTCTGGTTTACCTTGCCCCAAGGTCTACACCCTTTACCCCACCCAGACTCTAGAGCTGAAGTCCACTGGGTTGTGAGTCGGGAAAGGTCATGCTCCGTCATTTCAGCCTAGGCAACAGGAAGTTGATTCTAGACTCCTTCCTTCCCACCCCACTTTGTTTTTAATTTTGCAGAGCTAAAGGTATGGAGGATTTCTTATAAAAATACTTTCTTCTTTAGGGGCTGGAGAGATGGCTCGGTGATTAAGAGCACTGGCTGCTCTTACCAGTGACCTGGATTCCGTTCCCTAGCATCTACTACTGGGTTGCCCACAACCCTTCCTAACTCTAGTTCCGGGGGATCCAGTGCCCTCTTGTGGCCTCCAAGGGCACCAGCCACACACATATGGTGTACAAGGGCGTGCGCGCACGCACGCACGCACGCACGCACGCACGCACACACACACACACACACGCACATGCATACACACATACACTACACATACATACATACACACATACATACATACATACATATTCTAAAATATATTTTTCTTTACTACTTTAGAGATTCTGTCCCACTATTATTCTAATTAAAAAGTCATTTTTTTTTTTTTTAGAGGCCTTACGCATCAGAAAGGAGGATTTGGGATTGTACAATGCCTTAGGAAACTTAGATTTTTATTTTAGTTTTGTATTTTTGATTTGTTTGGGTTTTATGAAATAGGATTCTGAGTATCTTAGACCTCTCTCTCTCTCTTCCTCTCTCCCTCAACAAGGTCTTTATATGATATAGCTCTGGCTATCCTGGAACTCACTGTGTAGACCAGGCTGGCCTCAAATTCACAGAGATCTGCCTCCCTCTGCCTTCCGGCCCCAGGCTGCTCTTGAACTAGTGACTCGATGGTGTCTGCCTCCCAGATGCTAAGATGACAGGCATGCACCACCATGTCCAGAAGGAACTCACACTTTGAAGAGATGTTTTGTCTTTGTTTTTCTTCTTTCTCGTGATCCCTCATCTCATTCCCACCCGCAGTGCTGGAAACTGACCTCGTACATGCTTGGCAAACACGCTTACTGCTGAGCTACCCTCCTAGCCCTTCAGTAGACTTTTAGAAAAACTTGAGTGTTTGTGTGTGTGTGTGTGTGTGTGTGTGTGTGTGTGTGTGTGTGTGTGTGTGCAGGCGGTTGGTTACTGTCATTGTTTTGTTGAGGACAGCCACAGCTGAGCAGGAAGCTTTCATGGAGAACTCTGGACAGGCTCCAGTTGGTCAGGGAAGGCTGCACACACTGCTCTGTTTGTTCAGTGAGCCTTCATATGGTGTTTGCTTCTCCTGCCTTTCTAGAGCCCATCTGCCCTGGGGAGAATGGGCATGGCAGTTCTGTTGTAGAAAGAAAAACGAATACTTTCCTGTTCCATTGGCAGTGGAACCTTCCATAGACTTGTGAAGTGTTGCCGAAGATGGTGAGGATGTGCCGCTAGGTGATAACTTACACATACACTTTTAGATTCCCCAATTCTCTCAGGCATTCCCAGGAAGCATGCTATCCTTTTTTCTCCTACCGGGCATTGAACCGAGGACCTCAAGCATGTTGGTCAAGCACACTACCACTGAGCTACACTTCCCAGGAGTGCACTTTAACTTTTGACCTTTCGTGTAGGCTTAATGGTCAGTTTAGGGAATGGAGTGTGATTCTCTGCTTCTACATTGCATTCTCATTTATTGGTTTTTGGTTTTTGAGACAGAGTCTTGCTGTGTGACCCAGGCTAGCCTCAACTCTGTAACTGAAGTTCTGCTTCAGTCTCCCAATGCTGGGACTTACAGACATGCTCGTCACCCAGTTCTTACACTCAAATTTAATTTAGTAGCTCTGGTGGGAATTAAAAAACATCGTCATGAATCCAATAATCCAAGTCAAAGCATAAGCGACATTTAGTGGGTAAAAGCCAGAGGGACTATTATTTGATGTTTACCTGCAAAAAATGATTGTCGTTACGTCTGAGGTGGGACTCTGGCGTCCTCACTTATGCCCAGTCCATTAAAACTAAAACTCCCCATCCTTTTGCCACAGAGAGAGATTCCTTCTCTTAGACTTCAATTATTGGTATTGCTGTCGATATCTACAATTCTGCCCAGGACAGAGTAGAGGCATTTGCACAGTGTGGATGTTAAAATGCTTTTGTTTTATAAGAAAGGCTGTGTCTTAGGGTTTCTGTTGCTGCAACACAACACCATGACCATGAAGTCAGCTGGGGAGGAAAGGGTGTATTCAGCTTACACTTCTACATTGCTGTTCAAGAAAGTCAGGACAGGAACGTAAGCAGGGCGGGGACCTGGAGGCAGGAGCTGACGCAGAGGCCCTAGAGGAGTGCTGCTTACTGGCGTGCTGCCCCTGGCTTGTTCAGCCTGCTTTCTTATAGAACCCTGGACCAGCAGTCCAGGGATGGCACCACCCACCACGGGCTGGGCCCTCCCCCCTTGATCACTAAATGAGAAATTGCCTTATGGCTGGATCTCATGGAGGCATTTCCTCAGCGGAGGCTCCTTCCTCTCTGCTGACTCTAGCTTGTGTCAAGTTGACACAAAACCAGCCAGGAACCATAGTGACATATTTGTTTTTGTTTTTTTCTTTTCGAGACAGGGTTTCTCTGTGTAGCTTTGGTGCCTGTCCTGGATCTCGTTCTGTAGACCAGGCTGGCCTCAAACTCACAGAGATCCGCCTGCCTCTGCCTCCCGAGTGCTGGGTTTAAAGGCGTGTGCCACCACCACCCAGCTGTTTTTTTGTTTTGTTTTGGTATACTAATATACAATGAGTTATTAAGTATACATTTTTGTGTCTCCTACATACTTGGAACTTGTCACTGTGATGAGAGTCTCTGCTCTCCTCTCTGAGCCAGTTGGCAAGAGAATTTTACTTCCGTAGGGAAAAGTCATCTTCCCAGTTTCAGATCCTGAGTTCTGACGCAAGCCAAGTGTTTATTTTGTGGTTGTTAAAGTACCTTCTTCCCAGTGTGATTCTTATGGCAGAACCATAGAGTAGGAACAGCTTTTAGCAAGTCTGGAAATTAGGAAACATGAATCTTTCTTTTCAAGACTTTTGGCTCTATATGAACTTTAGAGCTGTTCTGTCATTTTTTTTTCTTTTTAAGTTTAATTTATTAATATTTTGCATGGGGCAGGGGGAGGGGGGGATAACCCCCGGGAATCGGTTCTCTTCCTACTGTGGGATCTTGGTGTGGAACTCAGGTTGTCAAGCCCTGAAGACAAGCCCTTTTACACACGAAGCAGTCGCGTTGGCCCAATGTATCATTTTCTCTTCACGAAAGACAACTGAGATTTTTATTTGTTATTATTATTTTTTTTTACAGTGTCTAACTAGCCTAGGATGGACTTGAAGTCCAGGCTAGTGTTGAACTTAATCCTCACTCTTGACTCAGCCTCAGGCGTGTTGGGAACACAGGAATGCACTACCACATGCAGCAGCTGGTAGTTAAAAGTTTGGCGTGGTATGGATCTCATCAAATCTGTAAATCAATTAAAATAGTATCACTGTCTTAACAATACTAAGTGTTCCCATCCATGAACATGGGCTATCTTTCCGTTGGCTTAGGACAGAGATTCCTACCTTTCCATGCACACTTCCTTGATTTAATATATTCCCATGTTTTTGTTTCTTTCTTTGTTTTCTTGAGACAGGGTTTCTTTGTGTATCCCTGCTTTCCTAGAACTCACTCTGTAGACCAGGCTAGCCTCCAACTCAGAGATCCACCTGCCTCTGATGATGCTATTGTAAGTGGAATCCTCACCCCCCACTTTTTTTTTTTAAGATAAGGTCTCACTGTGTGTTCGTGGCTGGCCTGGAATTCACTGTTTTGACTAGGCTAGCCTTGAATTCATGGAGATCCACCTGCTTCTGCCTCTCAATTGCAGAGCTTAAAGGTGTGTACCATCACACCCAGCTGGTATTGTTCTCTTGATTTCGTCTTAAGAGTGTTCTTCATTGCTAGTGTATGGTAATCCTGATTGTTATATATTGATTTATATCTTCTGGCCTTGGTGAATTCACCTCCTCAGCTCTCACAGCTTTGAAAAGGTTCTTGGGGGTTTTCTGTTATTGTGGTCACAACATCTACAATGAGATGGTTTTACTTCTTTCTTTCCAATCTAGACACTTTCTAATTCTTTCTCTTGGCTAATTGCCCCTGTTGGGACTTGTCAAATGTACGTGGCTAGTATGACATCCTGTTCTTATTCCTGGTCCCAGAGGGAAGTTTCTACCTTCTACCATTAGTGTCGTTCTGGAAGTGGATCTCTCGGGCTGGGGGATTTTCCTCGTATTCCTAGATGGATGGTGTTTTTTATTGAGACAGGATATTAGTTCCTAACAATGTGTTTTCATGAACAGATGGGCAGGCTTTATGGTGAGTCGAGTTGTACTGCCTGTGTCAGGAAACATATTTTGCTGATGAGCGTCTCTAAGTCCCTTACAAGGTACTAATCAAGTCGCAGACATAGATGCGCTCACTAATGGCTTTTAAACAGCCCCTCAATTGATACACATTGAATGGTTTCTGAGTCTGTTAAACTGACTTCATTAACCCAAGTTAATTTGGGTTTGTGTTCACTTGCCTAAAGACACAGAGACAACTTGGACATAGAAGATACAAGTTGATTTGTTTTTAGTGGTTGGTTCCTTTGAACGCTTTTCTATTACCTAACCTTGGATTCTCAGAGTCAGACGAGCTGGGTGCAGCTGTCGTCACCCTGAAGGGTCAGTGGTAGTGAGTGCTCTCTCTCTCTCTCTCTCTCTCTCTCTCTCTCTCTCTCTCTCTCTCTCTCTCTCTCTCTCTTCTTTCTGTACATTTTAGGGATGCCTCCATAGGAAGGCTTAAGAATTGAGCTCCCTAGTAGAGCTGAAATCTGTATTTGTCTGTAGTAGATTTTTACAAAGGAAACATGTTGCTGAGTTCTAAGTGCTGGGGGAGGGACGTCTCAAAAATAAGACTTAATAGTTAACCTGCCTGGGGTGGGGAGGTCATTGCCTTAGGGGGAAAAAAATTAAGCTGAATGTGGGTACATTTACCCATACCTGGGTAATTTTTTCTTTAATTCTTTTCATTGTGTGCTAGTAGGAACATTTGCTTCGTGGGTGTTGTTTCCACGTGCAATTGTTATATGCTATAATCCCAACACTCAAAAGACCGAGACAGGAGGATTCCAAATTAGAGAACAACCTGGTCGACATAGACAGGCTTTGTCTCAAGCCATGAAAAGGGTAGCCACTGTTTCACCTGTGGGGTGCACAGAGGGGGCCTCTGCCTAGCAGATACGGTCTGAAGATCCTTTCTGGGGGTGGAGAGACGGCTCAGTGTTTAAGAGTGTCCTGCTCTTGCAGAGGACCCAAGTTGGGTTCCCAGCACCCACATCAGGTGGCTCGCAACCACCTGTAACTCCAGCTCCAGAGGATCCGACTCCCTCTTCTGGCTTCTGCAGGAACCTTTGCTCACCTACTCAACCCCACCACCGTAATTAATTTTTTTTTTTTAAAAATCTTTTTATTTTATTTTATTTTTTAGATTTATTTATTAAGATTTATTTATTATGCATACAGTGCTCTGCCTGCATGTATCCTTGCAGGCTGGAAGAGGGCACCAGATCTCATTACAGATGGTTGTGAGCCACCATGTGGTTGCTGGGAATTGAACTCAGGACCTCTGGAAGAACAGCCAGTGCTCTTAACCTCTGAGCCATCTCTCCAGCCCTAATTTTTTTTTTTTTTAAATTTAAACAGTTGATAAAGATCTTTGTTGGTTTGAGGCTCTTTTACATGAGCACCGAGTCCAGATTTTAAAAGGTCATTCGTCATCAAGAAGACAGTCATCCTGAAATCCCTTCAGGAAGGAAGTGTCGGAAGAGTTGGCCATTATCTGTAAATAACAGATTCAAATATTGAAGACCACTCGTAGGCATTCCAGTGTGACGGGCTTCTAATGGGTAGACCCCCCCCCCCCGCCCCCCGCCCCAGGCATTTTTCATGAGCAACACAGCTAATGCGGTATCTGACTGAACACTTAACATTTCTCTAATTTTATACATATGCCCCAAAGGCCTTTGGTTTTTTGGAGACAGGGTTTCTCTGTGTAGCCCTGGCTGTCCTGGAACTCGCTTTAATAGACCAGGCTTAATAAATTTTACGACTGTGCTGAACAAATGTTACCACTCTTCAGTGCAGGAGAGGAAACCCAATGGAATCTTGAACCTAGATTTGGGTCACATGGAAATACCTTTATAAAAAAAAATGTTTTGTGGAAAAAGCCCTCAAAGAGAGATAGACTTTGCCATCACTGTAGGATAAATGTATTCAGTGCAATGCATAACAATTGTTCGTGAAACCAGTAGGATCCCCAATTCTTAGTTACCAAATGCTTGAATAATGGTGAAAATTCCTAGCATTTAGAGAATAATGAAAATTATAGCAACTTTTTAGAATAAAAAATAAGGGACTGATGTTTTATTATTTTTGTTTGATATTTATAAGTAGTCTGAAAACAAATCTCTGGCCCTAGTTATTATTCTAATAAATCTGTTGAAAGAAAAGATGCTAGCCAAAAGTCTTGGGAATGTATCTTTCAGGGGCTGGAGAGATGGCTGCAGTTAAGAGCACCGGTTGCTTTTCCAGAGGATCAGGGTTTGAGTCTCAGCATCAGTGTGACCACTCACAGCTGTCTGTAACTCCAGTTCCAGGGGATTCCAGCACCCACATAGAACACAGACACACATACAGACAAAACACCCATATAAGAAACAAAAATAAATATTAGAAATGTGTCTTTTGGGTTATGGTTTAGCTCTGTGGTAGAGTAGAGCAGAATGCCTGCAGACTGTGCGCAAGCTCCTTGGTTAGATCTCTGCCTTCCTGGTTTGGTTGTGGGGACAGGGTCTCAAATCTGAGAATACACCCAGCCCAGTCTGCCCTGGTACTTGAAATCATCTTACTTCAGCCTTCTAAACGCTGAGATTTCAAGCAAGTGCTACTTACTCTGTGTGTGTGTGTGTGTGTGTGTGTGTGTGTGTGTGTGTGTGTGTGTAAAAATGACAATATCTATATCTCTATATTTATAAACTTGTTTGCTCCAGGGAAGCACAGAGGTTACCCAAGGTTAGAGATGTTACTCTAAATTTATAGATGTTACTTTAAGAACTTAGAGCAGCCCCTTGGCTGCGTGTGGTGATTCCAGGGTCTCCCCTCCCCTCCCTCAGGGTCTAGTATCAGGGCTGGTATGATCTTGGCCCACATGGCATCTTAGCTTCTCTCCCAGCATCTTTACCCTTTGGAATCTACTGGTTGAGTTTCTTTCCACTTTTCCAGTTCGTAGTCTGTATTGGCATCACCTTGGACTTAACCATTATCTAGGTTGGGGAAGAGGTTTTTTCCAAAGTGGCCCCTGGTTAGGGGAAGTAGGGGATGAGAAAGTCACTATGGATAGTTTCTTTATAAGGATGTGTTCGGAGCACCATAATATGGCCCCTGGAGACACTGAGCAGGACAGTACCCTGGCCACCGAACTGATGACATGATGGTTGGACACGATGAGCAGGAAGTAGCAAGTTACTTGGATGTCATAACAGTTGACCTGCCTGCATCAAGATTAGAAAGTGGGTTTATTCAAATCTCTTAATTGCTCTCCTTACACTGTTACAAGAAGAATGAATCATTCCGTGGGCAGAGGTGTGGCTGGTTGGTATCTGTGTCTAGAAGTGTGAGTATGCTTAGATTGAAGCTGGGGGCATGTTTAGTTAATTACTAAATAAGCAGACTTCAGATCTCTCCAACCAAAGGAACACACACTTTAATTGGCCTCACCCACCTTCACCCCAACTGTTAGCACATTTCAGCTTTGGAAAAGCTCTGTGGAATTGGTACTAGTGATACCCGAGGATGACTTTTATATTTGCCTACACCAGAAACAGCAGCGACCTCACAACCAGATGACTCCTGGCATCCTGGGCAAGGGGAATTTGGGTTGTGAATCTTTACAGTTACTCAGTGTACAGCTCTTTTAGAGTTTGCCAACACCATCATCACCATCATCACCATCATCACCATCATCATCATCATCATCTTTATATGTCCAGTTAGGTAGTCTAATTTTTTGAATCCTGTTTTCTTTTATTTTGCTCTAATTTGGAAACTTAATAAGCCATTCCTGACAAACCTGCCCTTAAAACACCATTTTTCTATGGTACTTGATTAAATTATTGGGCAAAAATAATTAGAATTTTCTCCTCTTAATGTCACAGAGAGTTTGGTAGAGGATATGAGTACAGTAACTGTCCAACTTTTTAAAAAAGATCTCCCTTGTCATTCATTTGTTATTTATTTATCAGTTTAATCTTTGTGTTTGGGGCAAGGTGGGACTGTTTCCATCTTAAGGAAAACATTTTGAATGTGACTCTAATTGGTAATCAAATTTGTTTTTGCTGAATAGCATTGTATCAACCTGTTCAGTAATTAAAAATACATAGACTCTCTAAGTCTTCGGGTTAGAGCAGAAATCTCATTTTGGTTTTTTCTCTCTGTGTCATGTAGTATCATTCTTTGCTTCTGAGGCACCGAATTGATGGTGTACGCGTTAATGCACCAAATGGCCTGTGACTGAGATTTGTGTTAGCCTTCATTTTAGAAAGCCATTGACTGGACATCCCCAAAGAAGCCGTTAGGCCTTTTCTAACTTGAAAGTAGACTAGATCTACCCTGTAAGGTTTGAATAATATGGATTTTTTTAAAAATTGTAATCTACATGTTATAGATTATGCTCTATTTGAATTATATATGTAAAGGTAAAGTGTGTGTCCATTTTGCACTATAGTGCTTTATATATTTTATCATTTGTATCATGACTGTTCTGTTTTATGCTTAAAAATACTAAGAAACATTTTGTTCTATGTACTTTAATTTCAATTTTGGATTAAGTATAATTTTGATTCATCAACAAATCACCCTGCCATCTGGAATAAGACCAACGCCTCTCTCTTTAGTTCAGAATAGCTTGAATGTTGGTGCCCATTTTTGTTATTTTTCAGAAATTGTGTCAAAGTAACCTTATCGTAAAGGTAGCCTTATGTGGAAAGCCTTATTACACAGATATTGGAGAACCTGATTTAAAGTATTTTTTTCTAGAATTCAGACTTGGGTATTTGGGGGCATATAAAAACATTTGGAAGAGTTCTTATATAGTTATGTGTGGGATATGGCCATGAACGTCTCTACAGTTTGATGATCTCTATTTATGTTGAGTACATTGTACCTCGGTTTCTTAGTTGGCACTGTTATATGATAAAGTCCATCAGTGGATGAATTGTTCTGTGTGTGTGTGCGTGTGCATGTGTGTGTGTGTGTGTATGTGTGAGAGGGAGGGAGGGAGGGGGAGAGAGAGAGAGAGAGAGAGAGAGAGAGAGAGAGAGAGAGAGAGAGAGAGACTAACTTGCCTTAAAATAGAGCCTCGTATGGTCAAATAGACTTTCCTGTGACTCATATTTCTGTGTGCCTCATGAGTCAGCCCTGGCAGAATCCATGCATGCAAGAAAGAAAAACTTGTCTTACTGTGGATAATCTAAACCTGGGTTAGAAAGTATTTCACCGTGTAAAGATGTTCTGGAAGAGGCTGCACGTGCGTGCTTTTGGCTCGTGTTGTTAAAAGACGACACGCGCTCCAGCAGATTGAAGGAGGTAATGGTTTTAACCATTCCTTTTATTGATCTTTTTCTCAGTGGCAGTAGTTATGCACAATGTACTTGCTGTTTCCCCGCTGACAGCCACCACGAATGGTCACTGCATCCATCACAGGGTTCAGATGCCCTGTGTCAACCGGTATAGAGGACAACATGGAGGTTGAGGGGTCTGTTCTCGTTTGGGATTTAAGGTCATTACAATGTATGGTTAAGTCTTAAGAGAAAGGATGGTTCATGGCCGTAGCTTTTATCATCTAATAAAAAAAGTCTTTCAACCAGCTCCGTCTATGTGATGTAATCTTGTTTTCTACCTTAATACAGACCTAGTAAAGTGTGTGATCATGTGGCTCACAGCTCTCCTTGACTGTGTTACATCTGTATTTATGGCAGACTTTTGGTAGTTCCTATAAATGTACATCACCTATTTGACTCATGGTTGAAGCTTTTCGACCTCTCCGGTCCTTCCTGAAGGAGATACTATTTTATTAAACGTTAACTTTGTTATGATGTAAACATGTTGTATGCACATCAGCCAAACAAAATTTGTACAGCTGGAACATCTGAAGAATTAATAAATCTTGGTTTTGAGACCGAGCTCTCATTTGATACGGCATGCACGTTACTCTGTGGGCTGACTTAATGACTCGCTGGGTCCTTTCTCAATTGACTTAATCTTCTGAGCCAGTGCTTAGGTTTGCACGAAAGGGCTGGTGGGTAAGCACACCCTCCCCCAGTACGAGGGGTGGACCCTCAGCCTTGCACAGGCAAGGTGGGCACCCTACAGCTACGTCTCCGAAAGTTGTCTCCTGGTAACGGTAGTGCCTTTGTTGCTGGGTGGCCATGGACCAATCATGTGGTTCCTCTGGCTCCTGGGTATTCTCTTTCTTTTAACTACTCCTCTGTGTTAAGAACATGATCAATGTTAGATTCCAGTTAATGGTGATGAATACGCACAGGCATGGATTGTGTGTGAACCTGAATCAGAAGTCTGGCTAATTATACTTCCCAGTGTTGCTGGTGTTCAGTCTGTTCTCAGTGGCAGAAAGAACTCTCAGTTCTAAGGAACACGTCATGTGACCCTCCTCCCTCTTCACCTCTCTTCCCTCTGCGCCATCGCTGCAGAACCCCCACCCTCCAACCTTTCGAAAGGTCCCACCATCATGGCACATACATCCACAAGAGCACAGGCTGGTGGCACCAGAAGCTCCACCTGCCTCCGCTGTCACAGCGGGTGCTGGCCGTGGGCTTCATTGTGACTTCAGAGGGCAGAGAAATCCCATCCCGCAACTCTCCGAGGCGACAGGGCCCAGCATCCATCTAGGGGCTCCCTGCCCGAGATGGAAAAGTCTGCTTGTGTGCCAGAAGAGGTTTCCTGTCATTTATTCCGTTAAAGTGGTTGCTTCAAGTGTTCGGCATAAATGCTAAGAACAGTGGGGAATCACAGGGAAATTGTGCTAATTGCATTTCAGACAGGAGCCCGTGCGGCAGGTAACACTCATGTGCTGTTAATCACAGTGATGAATTCTCAGCCACGAGGTTTGACTTTTTTTTTTTTTCCCTTTGGGCTTTATTTTTGGAACTAATCAGGTTTTTGTTTTTCCTTTAAGGAAAAAAATAATAGCAGATGTCAGACTGAACACTGTATGACTGGATGATTTTTCTCCAACTTAAAAGAAGTGTAAGCCCGATGTGCATGGTTGAGGATCATGACCACAGAAGATCATTAATGTGTATTTTTTTTTTTTGGCAAAGATGGGGGAAGGGAGAATTTCCAAGGATCACCCCTCCTCATCTTTTATTCCAAGTGTCAGGGAGACAAGGTGTTAGATGTACAGAGGTACCACCATCCTTATCCTCTATGAAACTTACTCAAGGTCTGTTGGAGTACATCTTCTCTTTTGTTCAGCCTGTGAACAGGGGAGTCCTGGTTAATATTTGTCCAGAAATGTGTTTTGGCACTGGACAAGGCCTTTCCAAAGCCAAGGAATGTGCACGTATGTGGATGGGCCTCCCATCTGCCGGAAATGTTGAAACATGCCTTTCTGCCTTGCCCAGTCTTGAATTTGTGGCATTCAAGGGTGGTCTTGAGGAGCCAGAGGGTTCCTGAGAGAGAAGAACTTGAGCTAGACCGGCTCTGGGCAGCAGGGTTCCTACTTAGGTGTTTTCTAGAAGAGCAAGTTGAGATTCCTTACAAACGAATGGATTTTCGAAACCTACAGAAACAGTATAGTCTGTATATTAGACAGGAAAACAGACGTATCCCCATCAATAGATATCCTCTCTGTTCTCACCTCATTTCTCTCTGTGCTAGGCTCTCGCCACACACATACTCCCTAGAGCTGGGGACAGAGACCAGTGAGATGACAGATACGAAGTTAAGTGGCTGTTAGGCGATCCCAGAAGACGTCTCTCTCGCTGGGAACCTGGAGAAGTGCTTCTCAGATTCACACAGAGGTACACACTTGAGGGTTGGTGGTACTTGTTGGGTTCTGTGGGCTAAAGCAAGAGAAAGGGGCTTATTTTGGGCACTTGGTTGAGTAAGTGCACGGGCAGAGAACCATCAAGGGACATCAGCCAGGGGACTGCCACAACATGTCAGGATCTGTGCCCAGGAGGCACACTGCCAGCTATATTCAGGATACAGAGAGACTGGGTACCAGGGGACCAACTGAGGCACTTGCGGCCATTTATCCAGCAATGAGAAGGTGGTGAGTGGATCCCCTAGAAGAGCGGCAGACACAGTGTGTGAACGAACAGCTTTTCTGTGGAAACCGATGGTGACCTGGACAGAATTCTAATCGAGACATCTCACAGGCTGGTGGCTCTACCTGAAGTCCCGAGAAGAAGCCTGTCCAAAGTCATCCAGATGTCAGAATGGGAAATCTTTGCCTTGGGTCAGAGAAAAAGAAACTAGTTTGGAAAAGAATATAGGGGGAAAAAAATCCCTCGTAGTACTGAGAGAAAAGAGGATGTTACCTACGCATGGTCCCTAAAAGCCACAAATTGGGACAGTGGGAGAAAAGGGGCCCAAGATGGGGTATTAATGTGGGTATTAACTGTCTCCCATGGTCAGATGAGCTGTAGGAATAAGACGTGTCCACTCAATTCAGTGACAAGGAGCCAATGAGGTTTTGGGGAATGCCGTTCCGGAGGCTTCCGGGCCAGAGGAAGATATGAGTGTTTTCATAAGCCAGGACAGGACGAGGGTGGGCCCGTACGGCAGCAGCAACATTGCCTCTGACTGTGGAAACTCCCCAGACATTGATTTATAGATTGATATGAGTGTGCATGCATGCAACGCTGAACATCTGGAGGTGAGAACATTCAGGAGTTGGTTGTCTTCTCCCACCATGGGTTTCAGGGATTGAACTTGAGCCGTCAGGCTTGGGTGACAAGTGTTTTAGCCACTTAACTGGCCCACCACTGATTTTGGGTATCTGTATTTGAGTGTCCTGGAAGTTATTCATTCGTTAAGATAGGACTCGTAGAAATGAACCAAAAGCCTTAGTAGGAACATGTGTATATGCAAACGTACATATGCAAATGTGTGTATGCAAATGCGCATATGCAAATGTGTGTGCAAATGTATATGTGTGCATATGCAAATGCTATGTGTGTATATGCAAATGTTATATATGTGCATGCTGAAAGCACAAGGTTAAGGTCAGACATCTTCCTTCTCTCACTGACTCCCAAGCTTGCCTTTCCTGTTAATCTGGCTAGCCAGCTTGCTCCAGGATTCCCTCTCTCCCGCTCCTGCTGCCCTGGGATTACAGGCAGTCTCTTCACCCACATGGTATTGATGTGGCTTCTGCGGATCTGCATGACAAGCCCTCCACCCACTGAGCCATCTCTCCAGCCCCCTCTCACTATTTCTATAACTTTGGCTGCCACACCAATTCTCAGGGGTGGCCGATGAGCTATGGCATCATGCCCTGTGGTCAGTTCCACCACACTCCAGTCAACACTAGATTTTGCCTCATTAAATTATTTTCCCTAATAACTAGTGAATGATGATTTCTTGTGAAGAATTATAAATCTTTGTTACCAATGGGCATGCCTTATTTTTAATTTCTAGTCACCCAGATCAAAGACTGTGTATTGGACTGAAGGTTTTAGAATTGAAAGAAAAATGGCTTGTCATACCTTCTGAGCATCGCTGTGGGGCTGACTGTTCCTGCACTTGCAAAAAATGCTTAATTAATCTCTCTGGGTCTGGTTTTTTTTTTTTTTTTTTTTGGTTTTTTTTCGAGACAGGGTTTCTCTGTGTAGCTTTGCGCCTTTCCTGGAACTCGCTTTGGAGACCAGGCTGGCCTCGAATTCACAGAGATCTGCCTGGCTCTGCCTCCCGAGTGCTGGGATTAAAGGCGTGGGCCACCACCGCCCGGCCTGTTTTTTAACTAAAAGAATTTGCTAAGGTTCTTTCCTATGTTGATTCTGGCCTCTGTTTGTATCTCCCAGCCTGCATCTGGCTCCAGGTAAATCCTGGAAGATTAGCTAAAACCTTTATTGGTGTTTGTTTCTGTGTTCCTTTTGAGATGGTGTCTCCATGTATCCCAGACTGGCATCAAGCTCACCATGTAGCTGAGGATGACCTTGAACTTCCATTCATCTTGCTCCCATCTCCAAAGTGCTGGGATTACAGACACAAGCCACCATGCTGAGCTTTTGTGGGGATTTTTCATTTATCTGTTTTTGTTTTATGTGTAGCCAGGCTGGCCTGGAACTCTACATTTTCTGCCTCAGGCTCATGTGTGTTGGGATTATAGGCATGAGCCTGTTTGCCCAGTTGTGGCTAAAACCTTTGCTGTGGTTACAAAGACATTGCCAACAGGACAATTAGGATGCCAGGCATTATGTTCATTAAGAAAATATAGCCAGGCGGTGGTGGCCCACACCTTTAATCCCAGCACTTGGGAGGCAGAGCCAGGCGGATCTCTGTGAGTTCGAGGCCAGCCTGGGCTACAGACTGAGTTCCAGGAAAGGCGCAAAGCTACACAGAGAAACCCTGTCTCGGAAAAAAAAAAAAAAGAAAATATAAAATCAGCTGGGTATTGGTGGCGCACATCTTTAATCCCAGCACTCGGGAGGCAGAGGCAGGTGAATCTCTGTGAGTTCGAGACCAGTCTGGCCAACGAGACCAGTCTGGCCTACAGAGTGAGTTCCAGGATAGCCAGTGCTACACAAAGAAACCCTGTCTTTAAAAACTGAAGGAAGGAAGGAAGGAAGGAAGGAAAGAAAGAAGGAAAGAAGAAAATATAAAACCAGGTGTCGTAGCACATGCCTGGAATCCCAGTGTGCAGGAAGCCCAGACAGGAGGATTGCCACAAATTTGAGGCTCTCCTAGGTCAGAGAGTCTTGCAGAAAGACACTGCAAGACTGTCTCAAAAAAAAAAAAAAAAAAAAGTCAAGGATTGTAGCACCCTCTTGGAACCCTAACATGTGGGAAAGCTGAGGCAGGAGGATCAGGAATTTGAGATAGGTTATACTAAGCTGTATAACCAGATTATATATATGAAAAAATCAAATATGAAGAGAGAGAAAAAGAGGAGCAGATTAAGGAAATAAAGAAGCTAGGTGTGGAGCACAAAGCT